CGACAACACACACGCGCACACACACACACACACACACACGCACACACACACACACACACGACACACACACACACACACACACACACACACACACACACACACACACACACACACACACACAATCTATAATGAGAATTTACGCATTTCGTCAATTCCGGCTCCATTTCTCATTCTCATTTCCTACCGCTGCAGGTTCGCTTTAAGAACAAGAACACAGGATCCGACTACCTATTTAACTTCGATCAGTGGCTGACGGCGAAGGAAGGAGGTAACATCGCAGCAGAGAGGAGTCTTACGGAGGTGGAGAGCTCTGTCGAGCAAGAGTTCCTCGGTAAGCATCACCCGACATCTCTCTCTTTAATAACTACATAACGTTGTATTACTATAATGTACATGTATGTATGTAACATAAATATGTAAAAAAAATATGTAAAATCTAGTAATATAAATATAATATAATATATAAGAAATATATCAATTAAAACAGGCGCCATGCACCCGTATTTGCGTATGCCTAGTATCTGCCAAATAAAGTCATATTCAGTTAAAATTATACTTAAGAAGAATACTTAAAAGCGAGAGCAACCATACATCGCAGTAGCTTGACATTCAAAATACATACCGATGCGGTACACGGGGTTGTACATAACAGCTTGTGCATAACAGGTTAGACATAACAGGTTGTATGTGATAAGTAATACACAGCAGGCTGTACATAACAAATCATACATAGAAGGTTGAACACAGCACGTTTTACATAACAATTAAGTTATACATATAGCTGGGCGCACATTAAGGTTGTACATAACACACAAGATATAAATAATATATATATATATAATTATAGGTTGCATATAAGGTTGTACATAACGGCTTGTGCATCTCGACCGTTCGTCGCCGCGCTGCGTTCGTGGTGGTTGTTGTTGATGATGATGATGATGATGATGATGATGATGATGATGAAGTTGTTGTTGTTGTTGTTATATGCTGCAGGCTGTCAGTATCAGGTTATGGTGTACACTGGCGACCGCTGGGGAGCAGAGACCGATGCTGACCTGTACGTGACCCTGGCGGGAGAGCACGGCGAGACGGGGCAGCAGTGGCTGAAGAACTCAGACAACGAAGAGAAGTTCCTCCGCAATCAGGTAATATACACGCACGCACGCTGGCAGGCATTCACGCCCGCACGCGGGCAGGCATGCATGCACGCACGCACGCAGGCAGGCAGGCAGGAACATAATATATATATAATATACGATATTATACTATAGAGTATATACGCCCATATATATATATAAACAAAGTCAAGGTATAGAATATTATGTCTATGTGTCTATATA